CTCAATTCCACACATGGCAACTCTATGATGTTGCCTGTTATCCGGCTTCTTTTCCAATTTTTCCTTTTTTTTTTTTTTTTTTTTTTTTTTTTGGTCAGCTATGGTCAGGCTGAAAAATCTAAACCTTTCTTTTCCTCCCAAATAGTTTTGCAATTAGTAATTCCAGCACAGGACGGTGTTTCTGCATCTCGGCAGCTCTGCGGCGTGGGGCCGGGCGCGGGCAGCGGCTGCCGTGGGTCGACCTGGGCTCTGCCACCGCCTGCAGTGCCCGGGGCTGCTCCGGCCTCCCCAACCCCAGGGGTTTGTGGTGCTGGGGGGTCTCCTGCCGCCTGGTGTGTCGTCTCTTCTCGGTGTTTTGTGTCTGCACTGGGTGATGGTGGAGCTGCTCGGGCCGAGTGGCAGCGGCTCCGCTCCCTGGTTGGGATGCGCGGGGCTCGGCGGCGGTGGGGGCCGGGTGGGAGCCCCCGGGCACCCCAAGGCCGTGGTGGTGGGTGCTCAGGGAAGTGCTGTGGCTGCCATCAGGGCTGTGTCGGAGCCAGCAGCAGTGCAGCGGTGGCAGAGGAGATGCTGGCTTCTCCCCCGCTGCTCTTGCTGCTCCTTGCATTTATTTTTTCAAGCAGCAGCGATGCTACAAGGGAGAAGCCAAACCAAGGCTGTGCCTGGCCCTGCCTGCGCTGCGGGCAGCACCTCCCGGCCAGTGCTGGCCCGGAGACACAGGGCCACGTCTGCTGCTCCCCGTGTCCTGGCAGAAATGGGGTTTTTGATTTTTCAGAAGTGCATGCAAACGCCCAGTGCTCGGCACAGGGATCGTTGCTTCTCACTGCACCGAGCCACTTCCCAGCACAAGTCACTCGGGCGCGATCGCCATCCCCTCGCAGCGAGGAGACTCCTCGTAGGAGGAAAAAAGCAGATGCTTGCGGCTGTATGTGTGAGGGGAAAACACATGTTTTGATTTATGGCAAGGGCAGAGAACCGGCTCTGACACAGTTTTCATCCCAGTCTCACACGGGGCTGTTATCAAAATAAAAAGCCCACGGGCTTGGAAGCTGATTCACGGCGCCGTGTCACCTCAGCCCCTCGGTCGCTGGCACTGCCGGGCTGCGGCGAGTCATGTCCTGCTCCTGCCCGTGCCCCTGCCCACACTGCTGCCCATCTCACCACGGGGGAATGGCAGAAATGGGGTGGTTTCTCTGCGGGGAAGGAGAAATCTGTGCCCTTTCCCTGCATGGATGTTGTGGGATTTGGGCTGGACGGGGCGAGCGATGGGGCTGGCAGTGGTGCCCTCACGCCCCTGCCCTCACCCTCCTGCCCTCATCCCCTGCCCTCACCCCCCGTGTCCTCACCCCCTGCCCTCACGCTGCCTCTTCTCCTCCCGCAGCCGGTTTGGTACAAAGTGTGCCCGCTGCGGCCGGCAGATCTACGCCAGCGACTGGGTGCGGCGAGCGCGGGGCAATGCCTACCACCTCGCCTGCTTCGCCTGCTTCTCCTGCAAGCGGCAGCTCTCCACCGGCGAGGAGTTTGGCTTGGTGGAGGAGAAGGTGCTGTGCCGGATTCACTACGACACCATGATCGAGAACCTCAAGCGAGCGGCGGAAAACGGTAGGCAGACCCCATGCCCTGGTCGTGGCCCTGTCTCGGGCTGTCCCCATCCCCTGTGCTGAACCTCCATCACGGGGTGACAGGGCTGGTCCTCTCATCGCCAAAAGGGGGTGGTGGGTGACCCCAGGGGGAGGTGAGTGAGAGGCCTGGGCTGGCAGAGGGCTCCTGGGGGTGGCCGATGTGCCTGTGGCTCATGGAGACCTGTGTGCCACGGGCAATGCCGGGGACAAGCCCCCGGCCCCACGCAGCCCAGTGCGCCATGTGCAGTGAGGGAGGAAGCCACAGGGATTTCGAGGCTGTGAGTCATAAATCTAGAAGGTGGGAAAGCTGGCCATCAGACAAAACCTTCCCATCATTTTCCACCCGCCCTGCCCGCCCGGGGAGACGCCGCTCCCAGCTGGACCGTGCCGCTGCTGCCGGCCCTGCCGCGGCACGCCACGAGCAGCCGGCCAGCCTCTGCCTTCCCAATCACCTCCTGATCCCGCCGGGGCCGGGCTGGTGACACCGAGGTCACACAGCACAGCATCCCCCCCTCCCTCGGACATGGCCCAGCCCCATCCTCCAGCGTGGCAATGGCCAGAGAGATGCTCAGCTGAACAGATTGGTGGGGTTAGTCCAACCTGGTGCACGGGCCAGGCAGTGCCAGGGCTGTCCTGCTTCAGAAAGCACCTGAGATGTGTTGATATGGCAGAGGGTGCAGCTCTTGGGAGCTGGCAGCCTCCTGAGCTCCAGCACTCTGTGCCCCTCACTAGCCCTCGGTGGGCACGGGGAGGCAAGCACCATGTCCCGGCCCATGCAGCATGTGGAAACCATTAGCAACCTGACATGAAAATAATCAGTGTTTCTGTTTACAGTGTTTGAGTAAGAGGATGAAAACAGAGTGCCCGGTTGGGCTGGGAGGGTCATGGCTTGGGCCACAGCTTGCGGCATCTTGGTCCATATGGTCGGCTGCTGCGGAGGCGCGAGCGAGGCGGTGGGGAGTGGGGATGGAGGGGGAGAAGCTGCGTGGCCTTGGGGAGCAGGCTGGTGTGAGGACTCCAGGGTCTGGTGCCGGGGGGTCCCACAGAGCTGTTACCCCAGCTGAGGGCTGGGGTGGTGGGTTTGCTGCTGCTCGTAGGGTCCTGCTGGTGTGGGCTGAGCCCCACTGTGTCAGGGCAGCACTGGGACATGTGGTGAGTGTCTTGTGTGGGTACCTGTGCCCAAGCATCCCCTGGTTTTGAGAAGGGGATGGGATGGCTTTGGAGAGCTGCAGTTGCTGCGGAGTTGGAGGGCCAAGCTCCCCCCCCTCGCCCCGTCCAGTAATTACCCAGCAATTTCTTCTGCACATGAGGTTTTACATAGAAGAAAAATAAACAGATGTTGCTGAAGTCAGAGTCCCATTCATCATCCTAAAAGAACAAGTCAAACTATATGAGAAAGTCCTTCAACTCAAGCCAAGACAATCACAGCCCAGTCCAGCTCGCAGAGCGAGCGCCGGGCTGTGCAGGCGCATCCTGGGAGCGGGGCGAGCGCCAGCCCTGCTCAGGCATCCTCCCTCATCCATCACTCATCGGTGCTTCGCCCGCACCGCCGAGAGCAGCCGGGCCGGGCATGACACGGGCTGCACCGGGGACCCCGGCTCTGGCCACCCCCTTGCAGGCTCCGTAGCTGTGTGAGCATGGCCGGGCTTGTCCAACACTGTGCTTGGCAAGTGGGTGGACAGTCCTCCTCCTTGGGGTGTCCCCCTGAGGGGGTCACTGCTCAGGGCATGGGCACCCCGAGGCCACGGGGACGGCACTGCTCCTCCTGCTGCTCCGGGAGGAGGAGGAGGTCGGGGTGTCGGGAGGATTTGAGGCCAGGGAAAGGAGCAAAGAGCCCTCTGAAATGCTCTGAGCAAATGAAACAACTGATGGAGGCAGTGCCCGCAGGGGAGGACGGGGTCACGGGGAGCAGCGTGGGGCAGGAGTGATGGATGTGGGTGAGCCCGGCGGAGGCAGGGTCCCCTTCTGAGCCACTCGCTGGAGGACATGGCCAAGTGGTGACCGCGAGTCGGGGCCAGCAGGACATCACCTCGAAATCCATCTTCCTGCTGCCGCTTCCCCGTCCCCCATTCCCCGCGTCTTCCACCAAGTTGCTGCATTTTTCTTAATTTGCTGTTAAACTCCTTGGGGTGGGTGGTGTCCCCTAGAGGGGCTCAGCAGCCCAGGGCAGCCCCCGAGAGTCGGTGCTGGCTCCACTCTTCCAGGGATGCCGTGGTGCCCCACGCCACGATGGCGGGCACCTTGTCCCCTACTTGTCCCCCCGTTGAGTGGCCGTTGCGTGCAGGGGTGGCAGGTGGGCAGGGGAGCTTCTGACCCATGGAGCTTCTCTCTTGTAGGCAACGGGATCACGCTGGAGGGGGCTGTGCCCTCAGAGCAGGACAGCCAGCCAAAGCCGGCCAAGAGGGCCCGCACCTCCTTCACCGCCGAGCAGCTGCAGGTAGCGGGGCCGGGCCGGGGGGGACACGGAGGGGCTGCAGTTCCCTGGCATCATCCTGACCCCCCTCTCCCTTCTTCTTCCCCCCACCCAGGTCATGCAGGCACAGTTTGCTCAGGACAACAACCCCGACGCACAAACGCTTCAGAAGCTGGCGGACATGACGGGGCTGAGTCGGAGAGTCATTCAGGTGAGGGGCAACTGGGGGTGGCAGGGATGGGTAGGGGTGGGCAGGGATGTGCAGGGATGGGCAGGGTGCAGGCACCATCGGCCGAGCAGGGCCAAGGAAGGGGGCAGAGGACTTGCACCAAAAGGCTGGTGCTAGACAGGGCTCGCGTCCCCGTAGCCCTTTGCTCCTGCACACCGACCCTGGAACTTGCCTCATCCAGCAGCTTCGTGCTCCCTCACCTGCTTCCCTGGTCCCATAGCGATGCCAGCACCATCCTTCCTCTCCCTCATGGGTTTTCTATTTGTTTTTCCCCTCTCGTGATGCAATGAAAAACCCCAAACTGTACATCCCCAGCCTGTCCCAGTAAATTCCCGGGTGGGAAAGCTGCCGTTCTCCTGCCAGCTCGGAGCTCTGTGCTCTGCCCTGACGCCCGGCGCGGCACCACGGGCTCTTCCCAGCAGCCATCCCACCGGGAGCAGGCAAAGCCAGCTGCTTTGGGAAAAGCTGGGATTGAGAAGTTTAAAGAAAAAAGGGGTTTTGCAGCCCCAGGGGAAGCAGTGGCAGGAAAATCCCCGCGTTTGTGCTGCCCGGGAGGGCAGGGAATGCGGAGCTGCAGGGACTGGGAGAAATGTCCTCTCTGCAGCTCCCAGCTGGCCGTCCCCCCAGACAGCCCAGCGTTCCTCCCTGGTGACATTTATACTCTTCACTTTAATGTTCTGCTGACATACTTTCCACGTACAATAAAAGCCCGAGTGATTAAAATAAATTCGGAGCTTTCATCCAGGATTGTTTTGCCAACGACACTTTTAAATTTTGTGTGTGAAAAACTGGCTCGAGCCTCAGTTATTGAGATTCTTCATTTAGCTAAAGATCAAGCAGTCTGCACGCGGGGCTATTTTTTATGTGGATATTTTTTAAAGGCACTTTGAACAGGAAACAATTTGTCAAACGCTTAAGGCTGTTTCCTTCTCTGTGGTCCAGCGTGCGTGGCCCCAGAGGGCTGATCTTCTCTCAGTCTTGGGGAAGAGTTTTGCTCCCAGCTATCTTCTAAAAATGAAAGCATAAGAAAGGAGTCACCACCTTAGCATAACCCCCCACTCTATGCATGTATTAACTCTAGGATGTAATCTCCTAACCATTCCGTTAATTAGAAGCAGAGAGATATGGTCAGAGAGCTCCTACCTGCTGCTCAGATGGAGTGGGGCTGAATCCCACAGTACCCTCCTTTCTCAGCTTTAATGTTCTCCTGGTGTGGTTTTTGAACACAGTAACCCACAAGTGATTAAACCAATGTTGTTCCCGTTGTTCCTGAAGACCCATCTTCCCCAGGTCTGAGCTTTTAGTGGGTCTTGTCTCCTCTTGCCGTGCCAACGCTCACACATTTCCCAGATGAGCTCCGCTGTGCTTTTAGACCAGGCTTGTTGGGGTTGAAGGTTAAAATCTAAATAAGACCCTGCAGGGGTGGATGAACTCAGCCAAAGCTCAGGTGTGGGGGGTGTTTCTGCCCGGCCGCTCCCCCGGCTGCTACAGTGCCATTCCCAAGGGAACAGCTTGCTGTTAAGGTTATTTTAGTGTGGAAGGGAATAGTGTGTTCATTAATGTGAGTTTCTGCATCCCCTCGTCAGGGTGCTTCATTCAGTGACTCCTGTGACAGGCTTGGGAGTTTTGATTACCCTAATAAAAAACAAAATAGAGAAATCAGTAGTAGAGATGCCACTTTGTCTGTATGAGATGTCACTAATGTCTGTACTGTCTTGAGACAAAACTCTTGCTCTAGTGTGTGGAAAACAAAGCTATGGAAGCCGGTGGAATGCCGGTGAGGTATTTCAGTGTGTCGATTTCTAAATTTGAGTCCTTTTTAAAAATATTTGGAAGAGACAACCATCATAGGGTCTTGGTGAAGGGCCACACTTCGATCCAATTGTCTCTCTGTTGACATGGGGTTTGCTGCTTTTGTTTCAGGTTTGGTTTCAAAACTGCAGAGCCCGCCATAAAAAACACACCCCCCAGCACACGGTGCCGCCCTCGGGAGCCCCCCCGTCCCGCATCCCTTCCTCGCTCTCCGATGACATTCACTACTCGCCCTTCAGCAGCCCGGAGCGGGCCCGGATGGTGACGCTGCACGGATACATAGAAAGTAAGTGGGTGCTCGGGGTGGCAATGGGGTGCTCAGGGCAGCAATGGGGTGCTTGGGGTGGCAATGGTGTGCTCGGGGCAGCAATGGGGTACTCGGGGGAACAATGGGGTGCTCGGGGTAGCAGGGCAGCGGGGTGCTCCCCGGGAGCAGGCGGTAGCACCACGGCACAGAGAGCAGCCAAAACCACCCTTGTAGTCCCTTGCCCATCTGGTGCACGCCCTCCTCCTCCTCGTGGTCTGATGAACTTTGTCTTTGGGATCTTCAAAAGGCTGTTTATGGGGAAGCCCCAGATGTGAGAAGGAGGGGAGAGGGGGCTGCAGCCTCTGTCCCTCCATACCTCGTGCCCAGGAAAGTCACTGCCAGGGTTTTACTGGACTGGTCCTTGGCCTGCCTTGTGTTTTCTTTGTCGTGGAGAAGAGGAGTGAATGTGCCCTGTTCTCTGTGGTCAAGTGGTCTCCTTCCTGCTCACAAGATCCGAGCTGCTTTCTCTAACAGTTGCCAAGTGCTGGTGAATCAGTTGTGAGTAACGGGCAGCTTTGGTCATGCCTGGACGGAGGTTTTGGCTCCGTGACTCTTGTGAAGCTTCTCCCCTCCCTCGCCCACGCAGGCCGTGGTGAAACGTGGCTCCTGCTGCACCTCTGCCTGATCCACCGGGCACCCCTTCTTCCACGCGTGTCCCGAGCTGCTCCCTGGTGGAAGCCTGATGGTGCTGGTTGCAGGGCGTGTGTTGTTTGTAGTAACAGAGGCTGAAGCCTCTTCTCATCCACAGGTCAGGTACAGTGTGGACAAGTGCACTGTAGACTTCCCTACACTGCTCCACCAGTGCACCTCAAAGCAGACATGGAAGGACCACTATCTAATAGGGGTGAGAAGGTAATTGTAGACCCTGTTTCAGGCTTTGGGGCCAGACCTCGACTGTAGCAGAGATTTTTGTGTAACACCATTGCCACTGCTGTCTCTTGTTGGCATCACTGCTTCTCCATGGTCTCTGGCAGCTGCCACCCGCTCATGTGTCCTTTCTTAATTTTGGTGGCCCTAGATGGATGTACCAACTGTGGGTCAAAATGGCATCGCTTTGTTCTTCCTAAATACCCCTGGTTGTTGTGATGTGCTGGGACGTTGTGCCTGCGTTCACTGAAGACTTTTGAACATCCTCCTGCCCAAGCCCCTCTCTCTGGTGTTTCCCCTTCCCCTGAGCAAGGAGCTCCATCCTCCTGCTCCGCTCCTCAGCCCCCGCACGCGCTGTCGGTGCAAACACTGAGGGGCTCTTAGCAACGGAGCAGGGGGGACCTTAAAGTGTGATGACTTTCCAGTTTTCCATGACTTATAAAGAAAGATTCATTTCTTGGGGATTCCAGTATTGCTTAAAAAAAGTTACCAACTGGCTGTTACAATATCTGAAGTATGAATGTTATTTCACAATCTCTGGCCAGGAAATAATTGCATATTGATATTTTTCTGTCTGTTCTAACACACAGCTTGTTTGGGGGCAAGACTTCTGAAATGTGCTCATAAGGCTCATCAGATTTTTTTAGGAGCCCAGTTTAAGTGGGTTCATTTTGAGGAAACACTGAGCCTTTGGCAACTCTTATTTTGCCTTTTTGTCTTTATTGTTAGAAGTTCTCAGCATCTCTCCTTACAAATCTCTCTCTACTCACTGCAGCAAGGGTAGCTTACTGAACTCTGTGTCCATAAGCACAAGAAGGGGCACAGCAAAGTTACTTTTTCAGTCTAAATGCCACCATTTTGCCATGGTATCTGCACAGCAAGCTGGAGGGTTTTCAGAAAATATTATATAGTCCTGGTGCTGTCATTCAGAGACACTTCACTGCAGCAAGTAGTTCCCGTGATTCAAATGCAATTTCTTGCTCGCAGCTGCTGCAGAACTGGGTTTTCAGGTCAAGGAGCTGCCCCCTCAACCAGCTCCTTTTCCAAACTATGAATGTTGAATTCCTGGAACCTGAAGCAGCCTCTTTTTCCACATCCAACATTTTTTAAAAGCAGTGGTAGCTGAGATCCTGGGGAAACACCCATAAAGGCTAAGTCTCTGTTTCCCTCTGCATGTGGGGCTCACAGCCCTCTCCTCTCGGAGCTGGGACCGGCTCGGCGGCGGTTTCCCGGGCTGGTGGCACGGCCAGAGGCCATGTTGGTGGAACAGCCCAGCAGAGGGGTCTGAGGGAAGCCCGTGCTGGTTGGCGGGTGAGGCAGGTAGAGCAATGGTGGAAACCCTAAGGACCGTTGGCGATGGTCTTCATCTTTCTTGGTGGCTGCTGTATCACAGAGGGGATCAACGCTGGTCCCCGTCTGTTGCCCAGTGTGTTATTATAGTTTCACAGCTCAAGGTGAGCCTGGGGTTGCATCCCCCTCTAAGGCTGTGCTGCCACAGTCCCCTTCCCTCCTCCTGGGCTGGTGACTCCTGGGCAGACAGGGATCCCGGAGAGGGTTTTTCCATGGGGAAGCAGTTGCCTGCTGTGGCAGCAGGGCACACGTCTGCTCTGCTGGCCCCTGAATGCAGATGTCATGGCGAGGGCTGTCTGTCCCTGAAAGCAGCTAACGCTCGGTTCCCCTCTTTCCCCCTAGGTCATCCTCTTTCAGTACTGACTGCGCGAACTCTTCCTCATCTGCCCATGGCGCTACCAGCACCACTGCCCCTCAGCCGCTGAAACGCAGCGTCCGGCCCGAGGCAACTGTTATCAGTCATGCAGGAGACACTCAGATCCAGCATTCTCAGTTATTTCCATTGACCAGCACCTAACATCCACTATTATTTCTCCAGCGACACTCTGTGTATGTGTGTGTTGAGTGCAGAGTTACATTTTTCACTTGTTTCTTGTGGACTTGTAGAATGACCGTGAGTCTCTCCAAGGCAATGCCAGCCACAGTCAAAATTAGTGACTCTACTGTGCTTGCAAATCTTGCTCCCAAACCCATGGGAATATGAACAAACCAGAACGTGCTGAGTCTCGGGGGGGGTCGATGATCACCTCTGGGTATAAAGGAAGGAGGAATTTACGTGGTTTGGCCTGATTCTCTTTTTGCACCAGTGAAGCGCTGTCGGTTCCCGGACATCCCTCCTTATCTCCACTTGCATGTGTGAAATCTGAAATGGGCTTTTTTGGCTCAGCAACTCGATATATACACAGACCTTCCTGAGCCAAACTCGCGGGTAGCTGAGACTCCACTAAGTGGAAAACACGATGCCAGCTGGAAATAGGCAGTTTTTCTTCCTCAAAGTGCTTTAGAATCACATGTCCTTTGATTTACTCTAAGGTAAGTGAATCTTAGTGTTTTTCCCCCCATTTTATAGGAGGGGAAACAGAGATGTCCTAAACTGAGAGGAACCGTGGGGATTGGTGGCAGAGCCAGGTTTAGTACCCTGAAGTTTTTGATTGCTGACTTGTTCTTAGAGCACTGAATATCTCTCTCCTCTCACAGCCATCTACCAAATCTTTTCTTTTTTTTTTTTTTAATATTTTTTTATTCTTGTTCTTTATTAACAAGCTACTTTATTTCCTTGGAGTCACATTGGGTCACAAATGGGTGATTTCAGAATGTACCTACATGAAACTCTTAGATGCTCCATACTCTGGGACTGGGAAATCCTCAACGGAAACTGACCGTAAAGGTGTAGAAATGTTCTGCCCTGGTGTGGACCCCAGTTCAGTGAGTGGACCCAGTGGGGTAGAAATCAGAGGCTGGTTAAAAAAAGAGGAGAGGCACAGTAAGGCCAGCAGGAGCGGTCGCTAGCTGAGGGGACAGCAGCCTGATGGCTTGTTCCTTTATCTGGCAGCACTTCTCTGGTTCCCTCTGCCCTCCTGTTGTTCTCCCTGGCTGGAGCACGGCCGAAGGCACAGCCCGGGAGGACTCAGCAAAGGAAGTGCTCAGCAGCCTGGCCCCAAATCAGGAAAAAAAAAACTCCAAAATGATTCTTCATTGACGGTAATAACACAAAGTAAACAAGGAACCTTTGCCAACCCTTCTCAGTTTGCACCGAGCCAAGAGCAGGTCTGTAACAAACCTCTCTCCACGCGAGCACACGGGCCTGTCTCGCTGCTGAGTGTCTGCGCGGCCGCGTTCCCAAGAATGTGAAAGCCCTACCATGAGCCACAGTTAGTGCGTAACGTGACCGAGCTGTGCCCGAGGAGCAGAAGACAGCAATCCATCCGTTGCATAACTTGTTTTTAATCCAGGCTGTAGATCCACGTGATTTTTTTTCTCTCTGGGAGATCCTGGATCAATCTCCAAGGCTGGCCGGGTGGACACCGTCCCGCTGGTTCGGCCAGCCTGTGTTGTACACGTGGCAAACCTTCTGGCCGTGGCACCGAGGGCTGGCCACCCTGACCACACAGGGAATGGCGTGAGGAGACATGGATGGCTGCTGAGGTGGCCACCAAGAGCTCTTGGTTTGAGAAGTAACTGAGTACAAGCTTGCATTGGTATTTGTTGGAATATATATATGCACACGCTTACACACCTCTGTGTGTGTGTGTGTATATATATATATTTTGAGAACAGCGAGAGAAAGAGAGTGATGGTAATACCTTGGACAGTTAGGCCAGTATTTTGTCTAATTGCAGCCAGCACCTCTGTCCTCAATTTAAAATAACATTTTAAAGGAGGGAGGAAATTAAGCCTGCAAAGTATTGTCACCTCCTGACATGACTGGAACCACCACTGCAGGAGCGTCCTCCTCGGGGAGGGGACAGTCACAGGCTGCTCCCCTTGCAGTCACTTTTCTCCTTGCCTGTAGCAGGGAGCACAGGACAAGGGCTCCCTTTGTTGGGAGTGGTGGAGTGTTTGTAATCAGGAGGTTGAGGTGGATCATGGTGTCCACAGGCAATAGCCTTGAGGTGCTGGTGGTGGTCAGCAGGGTCACCGGGGCCCAACTTTCTTCTCCGTTTTTGCTCGTGCGTCCTAATGACTGTTTAGTTGTGGAATTAGCGGGATAAACGAGTGGGTAGCTATTTCATTTAAGACTGAAGGAGAGACTTTGGGCTGTAGCTTGACCTGACATCCCACAGTACTTGAGATTTCCACAGCTCTTTTGTTGAGGGAGAAAATGGTTTGATGCGTTTCTTGTCTGTCTCGGCGGTGCAATGAAAGGGGGAAAATAGAAAATGTGTATCTGCTAAATATCAACTTAGTTACTGGTCAAAAAAACCACCACCCCACTTGTGAAATGTACTGTATATCCATGTTTTTCTAACTGATGCCACTGACAGGACCCGAGTGCAAAGCAGGGGGCAGGGAGCGTAGGTGCTTCTCTCCAGGGGACCCGTGGGGCGAAGGGCCCCGCAGAGGGGCACCTTCCCCCATAAGTAGCCAGGAGCAGCTTTGCTAATTCAGAAATCAGGCTCTGTTTATATTAAGCCCAAATTGTTTGCAAAAACTGGAAGCAATTCAGCTTGTGCAGTTTTAGAGCTAATTATGTGTATGGAAAATACTCAACTGTACCAAGAATGTAAGAAATCCTCTAATTTATTCAATACATTGTTTCACAACATATTTCACACTGACTGTTGCCACTGAACCAAACCTTATCTCAGGTCATTTGCATTCATCTCCTGTCTGTAGATTAAAAAAAAAAATAAAATTAAAATAATTCTCATTTTCTTAGTTTATTCAGTAATTGCCAAATGGGTTCTGGTGCAGCAATGCAGACTCCATGTACTAAACTTTTCCAGTTGCTATTTACAAAACCTTTTGCAGACAAAAAAATCCAATGAAGATAGCCAGTGGAAGGCTTTTCACTCACGTTTAATAAGGTAACTAAATATGGCTAGGCTCTGGAAGTGGAATGGTTTACAGTTTTATTACCAATTCTTTCTTTTTCGGCTCACGCTGGTTAACCCCAATGCCCGAGCTAAAGGTGCTTACACAACTCACTAGTTGGGACAGGGGAGTGGGAACCAATCCTGCACTATCAGTGATATATCTGTAGGATGCCAACCATAGACACATCCGTTTGATTTCATCCACCAATCATTTTGTTGTAGCATGTTGCAATTCTGCATGTCTTGGCTACAATGGTTAAAAAAAAAAAAAAATTCTCTGAATGAGTGGACAGTCAAGACTAATATTTATTTTAAAAAAGTAAAACTAAATTGTAAGCACTTTTTTGTAAAACCAATGTCTGTTTTGTTACATACTTTTAATGTTGTGCTTTGTAAATGTCTTATTTGTGTAATAAATAAAGTTAATGCAAGTAGAAGTGCTGGCACTTACATCCAGAAAATGATGTAATTCCATTTTATTTTATTTTTAAATACTTTCTGGCTTACTAATCAAGCAGCAACCCACCCAGTTTTCCTCTTTTATTATTTTGTTAAACTCTGGCTTCAGGAGAGTTCAACAAACGTTCATAGTAAATGGATATAATTTCCTAGTTAGCAAACCAGTCATTAAAGAATACCTCTGGTGTACATTATTACAATGATCAATCAATATCAAAGTACTGAGCAAAAAGAGAGGAAAGGAATTCACCAGGACAGCTAACTAAAATCTGGGAAAATAATGTTGATTAAGATGGATTTGAATGACTTCAACACTGAATCTGAGGCACTCTTTTTAACAAATTGTTTTCAGGCTTAATAACGTGTATGTATACTACACTACACACCTCTCAGGAATATTATTGTGAGTACAGTCTGCTTTTTTTTCCATGGCTTTTTCTCAGCATGACTGATTAAATGATTATTTCCATTTTTGTTTGTGCTGACAAAGATGACGACAAGATTATATTCCTGTAGAGGGGAAGGGCGAGACAAATCCACAAGGACAAATTAGATTTATTGTGAATCAGATTACCTGCTTTGGAATATTAACGTCTAGCAAAAACTGTTTTCATGGTTTTGGTTTATGTTCAGTTGTTTTACTCCAAGCTTTCCGGCAGGTCCGAATGATCCATTCGTGCTCCTCATCATCTAAAAGAAAATATCAAATATCACCATGTCAGATCTGCTCTGTGCATCACTAGGGTCCAGCTCAAACAAGTGATTATTCTTTTGAGAAAGAAATCCATTTTTAGCCATTGGCATCTCTTAGAACGCATTTTTTTATTTCTTTAAAGGATTGTGTGCTGTTGTGTTAGAATTTGTCTGGGCAGGAGGTACTGGATCTATGGCAATGACTCTGATTATTCGTCCGTTTGATAAGATTACCTTGGGTGGAACTATGAGATTTACATGTCTCTATTGTGGGTTTTGACTTTTTGGCAGGAGATGTGCAGGAGATATGTTGAAACTATCAGAAATGAAGATTCAGATTTTTACAATTTTGAGTTTGCATTGTGTGTTGGTTTATGAAAAGGGAAGGTGAAGAAAAATCTGTAGTCAAAACCTGGGTTCTTGTCTTCCAGCTTTTCTTTCAGTGCTGTTTGTGAAATGTATGTTATGACAGGTAGCGAGAAGCTGATGTAGTGACCGTCAGACAGATTTCAGACCATCTTCTGTGTCCCTTGTTAGTATTCATGTCTGTCATATTTATTCTCAGAGCATGATGACAGTGTTGAAAGAAAAAAAATCAAAGACAATGTAGAGAAAAACAACTATCCAGCAAAGTTTGAATAGAAATTTGTGTATGATTTCAAAAAAACAAGTTGGCAAATGTTAAATTGTGGCTTCTTAATTCCAGGGTTTTACATACTCTTGTATCCAAAGAGTGTTCTGCAGCCTTTTCTTTTGTGTTTGTGTAAGGGGGAAGAGATCTGTGTAGTAGAACAGGAAAAACATACTTCAAAAAGCCTCAGAAAAAAAAATCAAAGTATTACTTAAAACAATACCTGTATTTATTTTTATATAAATGAAATGTATTAGAGCTGCTTCTTGTGTTTACCGCTGTCTTAGCAAATTGATATTAGCTGCTTGTGATGTGTGCTTCTAACCTGCCTCCATCTAAATTTTAAGGGGTTTGTAGCAGCCCTTATAACCTGAAAGAATAGATAATTGTAAGAAGGATGGAGCCGAGGGGATTGTAGTCCCGGTACCGTGACCATCACTTGGCATAGTGTGTAATCCACTCACACACCACTGCTGAGACCCTGCTTGGGCAGGTCAGAGCAGAGCGAGAAAGAAGCATGTTGCTTGTAAGGAGTCAAATTTTCATGGAGATCTTTTGACTGTACAGTTGTACTTTTAAGTTAAGCGACACGTTAGAATTTGAAATGCGAAAGGTAGGAAAGTCCTTGGGCATGAAGTTGTGCTGATCTACGAAGGGAAAGTTCACAGGAGGGTATGTGATAAATTAGGTCTGATGCACAAGTCTTCAAGCCTGGGGGTTAATCTCACTGATTGCAGTGGGTTTCGAATCAAGTCAGCTTTGCCTTTCCTTTTTTTCTTCTTCTTTTTTTTTTTTTTTTTTTCCCCATTCCTGGCCGAACGAGTTGCGTGCACGCCTTCGCTCCTCTGAAGGTGCTGCTCACAGGCAGCTCTGTTGGCATCCTGGCAAGAGGCTTGAGGAAAAGCATGTGCCAAGGCATTTGTCCCTTGTCTGAAGGGCAGCACTTGTCTGCCACCCCTGATAACCTGTAGGCAGAAAGGCCAGGGAGTTGCGGGAGGTTTTTCCCCAAGAGCCCGCTCTCCAGTTTGCTCTTTGCACAGTCACTGGTTTCCAGACAAAGCGCTGGCTTGTGCCGACTGACCCTCTTCTCACTCCCCACTCGAGGCTGCTGGGTTTTGGTGGAGAGTTCCCCAGCTTTGAGCATCACCCCAGTGACCGTGAATGGGTCGGGGAACACACTTGTGCTGCCATTGTTCCAACAGCTCAGCCTGTGGGCTGGCTCTAACGACTGAAAAATGTTACCCTTTGGATAGAATAGCTAAGTTTGGCTCTTTCTGTCTTTTGCTGACATGATCTCTTTTTTATTTCCTATGCCTATGAATCAATAGGTCCATAACAAAATACTCCCTTAACGGCACATTTCTTTTTTTGGGTATAAACTAGGAGAAAATAAATGCTGAAAAATATGCTAAAAGGGAAATTAAAAAGATAAGCACTGAATCTTGCTTAAAGACCACGCAGTCCTTAGAGAGGCAGAGATTCCACTGAGGGCTGCAGCAGGAATGCAAATGTGGTCCTTAAGCTTCCTTAAAAACAACATCAAAGCCATAATCAATGTGCTGGCTTTTGTTCTATGCACTAGGTGTTCCAGCACGGTAACGACGTGATCACGTGAGCCTCGGCTAGAGCAGATATTGTCCAGCCTGGGCAGCTCTGTGATTTTAGCTGGAATCGCCTTAACTAAAAAAAAAAAAAAAAAAATAGTTTATCTGCGCCTGTAATAATTGCAAGAAAATGAAACTTTGTCTATTTCTGCCAGGGTGAAGGAATAAACAAAAGTGACATCACCGCTACCTAGCTCCTGTTTGGGTACAGATACACAGGGCTCATCTCAGTACCAGGAATAATCAGTCTTCCTAGTGGGAAATCTACACTGCTCCCTCAGCTGAGCACCGAGGCTGTGAGCACTAAGAAAGGCAGGTGCTAACTTGGCTTTTAGGCTTCCAACACATCCTCGGTTTGCCCAGGCTGTTTCCTTCTGTGCTCTGGGTCGTGGTGGTCTCCTGGGAAAGCACACAAGGCAGGTTGCTCTAAGGATTTTACCCTCCCGGGACCAGCCCTAAAATGTCTCAGTTGATGCAGTGATCTGATCCCCTGCAAATTAAATACATGTTCATATGTGCTGCTTAACTTGCATCTAGCTTAATCAGATGTGAAAACTGAATGAGCTATATGGATTCCAACTTTGTATATGAAAAGCAAAAATAGATGTAATGACTCTATATTGCAAAAAATAACCTAAAGCAAATCCCTGGAACTGCCACCCAGCCCAGCTGTACCGCACTGCTGGTCCTTGGTCTGGGTAAGGGGAAATGAAAGAATTGATCCAGCATAGAAGAAGAACCACAAACCCAGAGCTGAGAATGGGTCCAGGGCTAGCTATGTGGGAAGAGGCAGGGAAATATTAGAATGTAAAGAGTTAAGCTATGGTAAAACATACTTTTGCTACACTAAAGAAGACTGGTTGATAATTACTGTAGTTTTAGGGCTATTTGAATCAGTGCAGCTGCAACCTCTTCAGTAGTAACCCCTGAAACAAGACAAACTGGGTTTATTGTACTGAACAAGTCTTAAAGCTCCTCCCTGATTGTTAGTAATTGGCAGCAATGGACTTAACAGCCTCTTGACTACCCTTTTTACACTCTACCTGACTGTGCAGCTAACAATTTAAATCACAGATGCCGATCCTTCTTTGTGGCAGCTGCTTGTTAACTACACGTTCCTCTTTTTCTGTCACTGGCTGCTTCCATAACCCTGCAACACCAGGGTTAGATTGGAGAATCACATTTCATCAATATTTAAAATGGAATTAAACCTTGAAGTTTGATTAATGCTACCAGATAGTGAGTTGTAATTACTATTTTGCAAATTGCAATTGTTTGAATATGTTAATATGATTGTCTAAGCACATCTTCACCTTCAGAAGTAATTTTCCCTTTAAAAAAGATTTGAAAAAAACACAAACTCTTTAATCAGTGGTAAATTATCACCCTGTGCACAATTAGGTAGTATGGGGTTCTTCATGTGTGTTGAATTTTGTGTCAGCTTATTTATCTCTAAAAGTTTATCCATTTTTTTAGCTTTTCCTCAGTAGAATATACATTCATGGAACAGACTTTGCTGAAACAGGACTAACTGTGCTGATATTTGAAGGTAAAGAAAAAAAAGCCGTGTCTGAAAATTTTATTGCAATCTGGTGTATCCTTGTTCAGTTACTAAATGTTAAGAAGTTATTTGAAGTTAGTGAAATATAATGATTATTATCATGACATATCACTGAAATCTTGAAATGGAGATAGCAAGAGATCTTAATGGATGAGCTGTTAGAATAAATGTAAGTATTGACTGATTCTTTTGAATTATTTTCTTGCATCTCAATCAAAAATAAGATCAGTTTTCTAGCCCCCACAAAATATATTTTGAATATTGTGGGCCAGATCCTCAGCCAGCCCAAACTGGCATAGCTTGTCTTTTATTTTTGTAATTAATTCAGGCTGTTTTCATTAAGCAGGCAGAGGCATATGGAGCCAACCCTCGTAGCCACCTGCACGACTGGTGCCCAGAAAGAGCATCTGCCCACAGTAGGTGATTAACCAGGGGTGCAAGTCCTACTGCTCTCCTGTTGGACTCTGTCTACACAGCCAACAGGTCAGTTTGGGGACAGTCTTTTTAGGCAAATAAGACCCAGCTAAATCTGTTAATTGTACTGTTCCTGTAAGTAGCCCATTTCAAAATTAGTTCTTCTTAACAAATACTGCTTTGCAAGTTTCTTCCTTCTTTTTGGGTGGCTTTAGGGGAAGCTCCAAACACCAGCAAAGTCCAAGCAGGTGTCTGTCAAAATTGCCGTTAGGTGTATTGCACGGTGAGCTCAAACTGCAGCCCACTTAAATCAGTGGATTTTGGCTCAACATCTCTGCAAAATGAAACCACTTGTCTAATTTTCGATGTTCAGCCTAAAAGTAGTGGCAGAAGAGACTTCCCCAACTACACACTCCAGATTTATCTCTCAGCTGGGATTAGAAACAGCTGAAAATTCAGGGTGGGCTTGCTTCAGGGTGCTTCCAAGGGACGATTTGAAAATGCACTGTAATTTAGGTGTTTTTAATCTTCCTATATTAAATGCATATTGCAAAGTTTAAAATTATTTGCGTCTAGCTATCGCGTTTCTGTGTTGCTTATGGAAACCTCAGCTGGGAGAGACTTCCTAGGACTCTACATGCTTAGGGGTCTGCCATGATGCAGGGCTGAGACTGTCAGCAAACAGCAGGATTGTTGTGTAGGTTCCTGGATTTACCTACTTCTTGTCTTAAAGGCTTTCTCTACACTGGAGGCCTGATGCACTCCAAAATTCAGTTCCTTGGCTCCC